TTTCCGTTTAAGGAAGAAGGAAGAAAGCCGGTCGGGCGAGAACAGGGAAACCCGTAAAAGGCGGGTTTCATCGAAGCAGCCGATATAATGCGTCCGCGAAAACGGAAGCGCCATCCATGCCATAGCCATTACTTTCGTCCACGTTCTTTTTCATTCCCTGACTAGTCTACTCTTGGCCCCTCAACTGGCCCCGTTGACCAGAGTATTCGTCAGGTTTCTTTATGCTCGTGGTCCGGACCGAGGGTTCAACGGGAACACGACCACCGTAGGAAGAGCCTCGCCGATTATAACGCGGCGATGACTAACCCTCCTTTTGCTTACTACCCGCCACATCTTCGAACTACATATTTGTCGAAACGAACAAAAGAACCAATACCGAAAGAGTACGGGCGCTTTCGTTGCTACGCTTATCGCGTTAAGTACGAGAAACCGAATCGCGACCGTCGTTTTAGTAAATTGCGCCACCAGAGATGCATCGTCGCGTTAAAGAAAACGTTGCCTTAATAGAGTCGGAGATCGGAGAGTAAAAGAACTGATAAATCGGCGTTTCCAGCTGCAATTTGTTCGCTGGTTGGCCCCTACGGCTGAAAAACGATCAAAGTGCAGCGTGTACGCGACGACCGTTCGAATAGCGCGTCGAGAAGTTGCATTTCGTTCGTTTATTAGATTGATGGCCGAGCGAGAGGCAGGAGGAAATCGTTCGTAACTCTGTTGGAAGACTTCTCGTTGCTCGACGCGTTCGTAACGAGCCGACGAGAATCGAGAGAAAGTACCTCGTGGTCTTATCGCGGACGAAATTCGATTTTTAAACGACGCCAACTACACGTAGAGCAGCGATTCTTTCGAGTTTTTCTTAACGCGAGCCGTGTAAACAAACACCGTACAGCCGGTTTACGCACCGCGTCAAGTTTACGGCTAAAAATAGTTCTCTGTTCGTGACGTGGGGGCGAGAAAAGCATGGGGCTATCTTGCATCGATCCGGTTGAGGTAGGTTCTGGTCTCGAGGGAGCCACGAGGACTTATCCCAGTTTAGGGAAAAATGTCAAGGTTCGCTTTACGCGAACGTTCCTCTTTCGGAAGAGAAATTAATCACCGTCGCTTTATCTCGTCGACGTATCCTTAATCGTCTAACGGCCTTTTCTCCTATCGATCGCTTCTTCGCCTATCCGAGCGAACGTTTCGAAAAACCGATAGAAATTTTCTTGTATCCCAAAATATTGAAACTTTACGCGATTGGCTTCGCCGTAAAAAACGATAGCTGAACGAGAAAGAAAGCGCAATTACTTCTCCGTTGAAACGTTACTTCTCCGCGCTCGTTCTCGGTCGGTCGGTCGCTCGCGAGTAACCGACCAGTGAATTGCGCGGGTTGCGCAACAGGAAGGCGAACGTTTAAGCTAATGACCTTTAATGCAAAGCTCCATTGTGTGTGCCGCGCGAGTCGGCTCTGGAACGAGGGTTAACGCACAAAATGTACACCCATCAGGGAACAAAAAGGGTGGAAAAAAAAATATGAAAATAGACCGAGAGGTAGAGAGAACGCACCCCTTTGAACGAGAGGACGATTCGTTTTTTCGTCGCGACAGTTTCCAACCTAAACATCGTACACGCTCGGTCTTGATAACGGGTTCGCTTAAGAAAAATTTTTACACGTATTTTCCTATAAATCGGCAACTTTTAATCAAAGGTCCAATCAGTTTACGCGTTTTCCCTACGACGTCTACAATATCCAGGAAAATGAACTTTGTTTCGTCGAGGTTATTCTTCCGTAGAGTATCCGGTAAATCCAAGAGGGTAAATCAAGTGAAAAGCCTGTAATCGATGCGGTAACGTCCACGTTTTCGTTTCGGAATACGAAAAGCGGAGCTCGCGGAATTAATAAGAATCGACGCGTCGTTTCGGCCGACGTTGCTTTGCCGAGATTAAACGAGATATTGGCTTCGATAGCGTATCGGTGCTGCGAACCTGCTCTCGAGCTTTCTCGTAAGCGAGCGAATTTCCAGCACGGCCGTTGCAAGAACCGTGTGTTATTCCTAAGATAGTTTCCAAGTAATATAATCCCGACTCACTCGGGTAGCCCGTTGCTGCCGGCGTTGATTAAATTCGAAGGTAGTAGGAAACGATGGACGCGGAAGTTTGGGAGTTTCTCGCCAGTTTTGGGCTAGGGCTCGTGACTCGAGGAACTGACTTTCCCAATTTCGTTATGTCGTAACGGAGACCTTGCAACGTGTATCCGTATTTCGAGTGCTTTCCCGTTCAAGTTTCATCGAATTCTGAATCTCGACGAATACGATGATCCTCGGAGGCGCGCGAACGCTAATTCCGAAATTATATGTTATATCTCGGGCCGCTATCGTTGGAAGTATTTACCATTAGACGGCATCGGTTCTCTCGGAATCAACGTCGATCGGCAATCGTTCGAAAAAGGTAAACGAAGAAGACGAGGATGAACTTAAGCAGGAAAAAGGGGAGTTTCTCGAGCACAAGGGACTGGAATTGCTACGGAAGATTCTCGACGACGTCCTTTTAATTAATCTCTACTCCCTCGGCCCCGAGTACCATTCAGAGAACTCTACCGCAAGCGGTGCTCTTCCGCTCGAGCCGTCGAGAGGCTTCTACTTCCGTAACCGAGAACAAAATATTTTGCTGCGCAACCGTTGAAAAGGTAGCGGAGCAATTTCGCCGCCTCTTATCCCGTTCACTGACAACAGGGCCAAAAATCACTCGGTCGTCGTTTAGATCGATCAAAAATTTCACCATGGATATTCAAGAAACGCGTGTCCGCGATACTAGTACCAAACTAGGAATTTATCTAGCAGGGGTATCCACAAGTCCTATCGTATTCGAATTAACAGCGCTCCAACGTTCAACGACGGAGTTCCATGCACTTGTAGGATATCACTCGGGGAATAGAGCGAAGTAGCCACACCCCAATCTACGAGTGCACCGAATGACTCGACTAACTGCGCCTTGGCACGCCATTTTCCCATTTTCGTCGCTCCTCGTGGCCGATTTATTGTCCAGTCTAGCGATACGATAGGACGTATCGGGAGATCACGGCGGCCTCGCGAAAAATCGCGATTACCGATATCTCGTCGTTCAAGGTAGCGAATGAAAATGCGAGGTTCGCCAAGACGAGTCAACGAGACGCGAATCTCTGATGCATCGAATAAATTATTTGGCGGTTTCTAAGGTAAACGCGTGAAAAACGAACAAATTCCCCGAGTACGTTTATCGATAATCGCTAGAAGAGCTTTCAGGTTGCGCGCTCGTTGCTACGGATCGACTGGAAAGAAAGGGGTGGTGTGGTTTCGAAGCGAGAGTGGTTTTCGAGGGTTCGTCCATAGTGCCTGCTGCTCGATCGCTTTCCGCGTATGCACCTACGCTCTCGAGATGCGTGCTGAAAGGAAAGAAGAGAATCGATCGTTCCCGGTGCTTTCGAGTCGCGGATTAAACGATCGACGAACCCAAAGATTCGAAAGAGCCGCTTATTTACGCGAAGCACGCGTGTGGAGACCGCTTTTATTTTCACGCGAAGGTTCGTCATAAAACGCGGTGGCGGCTTTTCACGCGTTGGAAAATCCTTGGGGCAGGATTCGTCTCGCGCGGCACCAATGAAAGGAATCCGCGCCGCGACGTAAACGTAAACCTTGCGTTGTTTCCAGACACTGCAGCATGGCCATTCTTACTACTTCTAATAAAACGTGCCATTTGCTTGTTCGCAAAACGAACAAATAACCGTGGACGACGAAAAGCAGAGACAAACAAACAGGAGGTTTTATGGACTACCTTTCGAGAAAGCTTCAACTGCGCACGCGTTACGACCAAAGGTTCAACGCAAAAAGCCAGACGTTCAAAATTTTACCCGTTTTCTCCTCTTCTCCTGCCCCTCTACACCCTTCCCATTATTCTCTTCGCATAATAGGATCGAAGCGCGACTCGCGCTCGCCATTTATTTTTCTCTTTTTAAAGAGAACAAACGAACACGGGAAATAATAATTCCACGAAATTTCGACAATTTGCTGTCTGAACGAGTTACCGTCTTCTTATAGCGGAAATACCTTTTCAACGTAAAGGGTTATTTGAAAATTCTGTCGAGAACGGTGCAGAGAAACGCGTACTGCGTCGTATCCGAAAGCCTTCTTCGTGATCGATCGACCTACCGCAACGCGTGATACGCAGTTCGTGTCACGTTCGGGGACGGATTAAGCTTTTTAAGCTCGCCAAGCGTCCGTGTGTGCGAGTATTCGGTGTAATAACGAACCCGAGCAAACAAATACACGCGGACAGACGAACGGGGGTGGTGTGGTTTGTAAATGCACGCGAGGGACGATGGTATTGATTTTTCCTCTCGTATTTGGGGTAGGACGACAGTGTTACGACGCAATCCAACGAGGCAAAGGATTCGCCGGGGGATCAACGAGGAGCGACTCTTTCCGCGAGACAAAAAAGGAGAACGAATACTAGCTTTTCGCCGTGAGAAATTATTTCGATGGCACGAAACGAACATACCTCATCCCGTATCGAAGACAATGGAAGTTTCGCCGTGGCATGCCATGCGATACACGTTTCTCGGACGATGATAAAGAAAAAAGCTTTTCGACGAAATCACATTTAACTGTATATGTAGATCTAAATCGTGAACAATCGATATTTTACATCTTTCGAGATAACCGAATATCGATGAAATCATTTTGAACGATAACAAAGTGTAAACGTCCGAGGCTCTTTTAATAGAAACGCGAGAATCGATAAGAAAGAACACGGCAAAACAATAGAGTTTCCTGGGGAGACTTAAAGCGAAAGGCTCTTTCCACGGTTCACCGTGGCCTTGCTCCATCGCGTACCTTCAGCTTTAAGGAATCCCATATAGCTCGCTTCTCGCTTTCAAACTTTCCTCGAGCACGACGTTAGAGCACGACGTTAGAGCACGAATTTGATTAGCAAATAGGTTCGAATTTTGATACCGGTCGGGTTAAATTAAATGTTAATCGATTACTCACCTTGATGTGGTAGGAGTTCAACTTGGTACGCGGCAGGCTGTTGAACGCGCTGAAGTCCAGCCGACGCGAAAAGATTCCGTTTGCACCGCAGCTTTGCCTGTAACGAACGTTCGATTAATTTCGCATTATGTTTCGCGATTATATCGATACTTAATATTAAGGCTCGCGGAATAAACGCAGACACGAAACGATTGAAATAGTTCGTGTAAAATAAGGTAAAAGAGAAAAGGGAAGTCCGAGATTTATGCACTGTTTTGCAACGCGTCGAACGATACGCTTCCCGGACGGATACCTTTAATGCGTTCGATTGTTAACGTCCGTTTACGCTGCGTCGAATACACGAGAATATTATGTCGAGTACCGAGAAAAATACGGAAGAGGAACGACGGCGCTGACCGTGGAAGGAAGTTACGTGAACAGCACAGGAGAGGAGAAAACCGAGCAAGGGCAGAGACACGGGCGAAAAGAAGACAAGAGTCGTCATTCGGTTAGGAAGGAGACAGAGTAGAGTGGCATCGTAGCTAAGGTGGGGGATCAAACGGCCTTAACCTTGGCCTCCACTCGACCAGACTCTCGTCGTTCCGTTCCATCGTTTATATCATCGGCCGCGTTCGTAACTTTTGGCAATGTCAACCGACGGTCACGAAAATATTGCGCACTTATCGCGTCGAGGAAAAAAATACGCGATACCTCGGCCGTTTGCCATTATGCAACGCGTGACCCGTTGCTTACCGGTTGTGCATTCTCTTTTACCGAGCGTACGGCACGCGCATACGTACCGATAAGCACGACCGCGCGTTGCGTCCACTCGAATTCGTGAAATAGCACGCGGAGCAATTCGTTTTTCGAATCTTAAGTATCCGACGGCTAAAACTTCTAGTTCTCTTCCAACTTTTATCGAGTTAACTCGATGAACACGACATTAAACTAACGTCGAATACGGCAACTCGATACAAAGTGCTTATTAAAACTGCAGCGATCAAAGAGAGTAATTTGTTGATTCGAAATTCGTCGCACCGAAAAGGCGATCCACTCGCGTAGGATGTTGTCGACAACGACGAAGCACGGTATATAATCAGCGCCTCGAAAACCGATATTTGCACGTACCGATTGCAAAAAGCCGCATCGGCGAGTATACATATACGGACACGGTTGTCTCGACCGTTAATTTACACGATGCTAACCCAAGCCGTTTATTTTCAATCATCGCCACTTACGCGTCCTCGCCTCTCTTCTCTCCTCCCTTAGTCGCGATGACTAATGTTTTGACGTTGATTGCGCAATCACCGCGAGAACAAGAATCAATAGAGTCATTATTTCGCTCGGTGCGCGAATCTTGCTATCGAGTTTGTCCATTTCCCACGGCACGAATCCTGATTACGCGACCATTTTTATTTTTTACGTCTTCGACGGAAATGGAACAATTACACGAAATGGGTTGAATTGCCGTATGAGCAAAATAAACGTTTCGGCCGAAACGCGATATCATTTTTATAAATGTTTTCGACTCGGGCGTACAGCGAATGCGTGTAATAATTTCGAAGCTTGAAAATTTACAACTTACAAATTCGAAAGAAGATTTTTGTCTCTGGCGCGATTAAACGAGCATCGAATAAACGTTAAAAATCTTAAATCGAACGACATAAATACGACACGGTCCGCCGCTCGTCCGTCTGCACAGATTGCCATTTGGACGATTAACGCGGAAACAACTATGTTGCGGAAGGCGTAGGTTGCCTCATCGTGGACACAGTCTAACCAGTTACTTTCTCTTTTAATCACCGCTCCGTGAAGTATAATTCACGTGCAAGGAGTTCGAGCTCGCGAGGATATCAAAAAGGAAAACTGCTCGCGAGTCATTAAGTCGTGCATCGTGCAGTCGCGGGCACCTCGCGTCGTACCGTTTCGAAAAAGAAAGGACACGCCGTTTCGCGGTTCAATTTATTTCGCTGGAGCCGGTTTACCGAATCGTCCGAAACACCCTGTATTCGCGTAGAAGAGAATCGGTTGCCGAGCGTGTCTCTGTCCGGAAGAAAATTTCTTACATTTAACCTTGACGAGGCCGAACGCGTTACTTCCGGAACGAAATTGGGCTTATCGGACTCGCGTTTCCTTATCGCGTTTCCTTATCGCGTTCCCATCGGTCGTTGTGAACTCTTTGTTTCGAAACGCGTACTTTAACCCTCTCGTGCACTCCGAGTCTGTCGTTTTTTTCAACGAAACGAGTCGAAGTAATACCGACATGGATATTATATTCACCGAGATCGCGGTCGACGTAGCGGAAACGGTAAAAAACTGTCGAAAGGGAAAACCGACGCGACTACGGCAATGTCTATTTATACGTTAAGTTGGTCTCTCGATAATCGATCAACCTATGAATCAATTCCACCGATTTGAAATTATAATCGCGCAATTAGCAAACTCGATCGTTATCGTGAACATGCAAAAATAGCCGAGTACTTTTTTTTCCACGCGATCGTTGGGCAACGGAGGAAAAACAAGGAATAAAAGGAGCGAAAAGACGATCGCGCGACCGTAGGTCCTCGAACGAACAACCTTTCGACCGACACAACTTTGCTTCTACAAATGATCTCGGTAGTAATACGAGCCGTGTTACGCGGATATTCGTGAGTGAATCAGTTTTCGCAACTCGACACCGAGCGATACCGTCCGCCACTCTCGTACTCTCGGTTTATGTTTCTAGGAAGCGTTTCGCAATCGATTCACGTTTTCTCGCCGCGGTATGAATGACTCGGTGCGTCGTTCATCGACAGAAACCCCGAAGCGGATCGTTGCGTGCGACGCTAATTCATGCCTCCTTTATCTATTCATCGCATCGTAATTCATCGATGCGAACGAGGAGCAGCCAGTTTCTTCGAGTGTTCCAACTAGTACCGCAAATTTCCGAACGCGCTTTACACGGTTCCTCTTCCCTTTCGATGGAATTCGTTTATCTAACTAGCTATAAATCGGCTAAACTTCCTATTATACCACTATTAATTACCGAAAGTAACATCGGAAAGAAGAAAATCGTTTTTCGTGACTTTCACGCGAAATGATCCGACGAAAAGAACACGTATCAACCAACCAAGGACGAGACGCGTCTCGCAATGCGATTCGCGAACCTGATGCGCTAATGCAAGGACACGTACCAACAAGCGCTGCACGCATCCGGGCTGCAGCTGGTTAAAGCTTCCTCGAAGGCCAAGCGGGTCCATCCTTGGAATTTTAATCGATCCGTTTGCCTATCGTTACGCGCGTTACAGCGAGACGACGCGAATCGTCCGAAATTTTGACGACGTATCGCGAAAGCTGACCACTCGGAAAAATCGCTCGCGTCAGCTGGTAAAAATTTTCCGGACATTAAATATCGCGATGATGTCGATAATTTCGATGCGAAGCAACGACGTGCATCGAAAATTTGCTCGAAGAACAGATGTCCGCTATGCAAATCGGCGGCGACCCAGCGAGGATCATCCGGCGCTTCACTCAATGGTACACGCGACACTCAGCCAAACACCTGCGTATATACGCGGCTCCGTGATATTTATAGTCGATAAACGAGTTGTTTACGCAGGCACGCATTTTCTTAGGCGCCTCAGGTTCGACGAATAAGGGGAGCAACGAAGAAAGAAGAGAGACGCATGGAAAGGAGAAAGACGTCGTTTACCGTGGCAGTCGAGCGGAGAGAGGCTCGGTCGAGCGATTTTTGCGCAGTTGAGCGATAACGCTCCCGACTCGGATGCCCTTCCGTTGCTGTCTTCGATGACAACAGCAGCGGTTTCCCCTGCAGTGCCGCGCGACATCAACATCACGGTAACCTACGTCTCATTGGCGTAACTAGAATTTTTATCCGGGATGGGCAAAGTATCCTGAAGCTCCGTCGACGTTTACGACACCGATGGAGGGCTGACTCGGTTACACGCACGCGTATATACGATGCAGCGTACCCTTTTCTCGATATTCCGACGCTTCGTCGTAACGAGACGAAGAATAGAGATTAGTTGCAACGTCTGCCGATGTCCTTGAGGGAATCGAGGATGAAACTGTTGGATTCGCTTCACGAATTACGGAGAACGTGAGGATCGTACCGAAGAGACACTCTCTGGCACTCGGTGGCACAGCTGTCCGCTGCAATTTCCACCAAGAAGACCAAGAAGACCAAGAAGACCAAGAAGAACGCGTGCGCGCGAACCGAGAGCGTTCGCGTCGTGAGCTTGAAATTCTTTTAAAGTAGTCTCGCAGGTGTGCGCTAATGAGACGAACGACGATAATGGAAAGCCGGCTCTCCGAGGGAACTCGGACACAATGGCTGTCCGGTTCGTACAGAAATGTCCCGGGAACGCTTTTACGAGCTTCGTGGCTTCATAACCGACCCTGGCTAGCGAGACTCGTTCGGTCCTTGTATGGACAGCCTTGTATCCATCGAGACACGCTTTAATATTTTCAATTTCTTGCATAAATTTAATACGCTCCCCTACACTCCCAATGGACATTTTTCCAAATAAAATTATACTCGGTGAAAAATCCACGGCACAGGACGTTTCAAATATTTTTCTAAGCGATCCTCTTCTACGTTGCTTCTTATCGAAAAGGAGTTTACACCGCGAGTACTATCTACCCTCTAAGAGCCTCGTTTCGACATCTTGTACAAACAGTTTGACCAAGATAATTGTAAGCGAACCATACGATCGAGATCAGATATTTGCACGGTTCGCAAGGTCATCGCCGACAAAGATAATATACAATATGTATATACAAGTATTTATAACACCGACTCTGTCAACTCTTCTCTCGAGATGTCCGAACGACTCGGCCGTCTACGACCGAGTTGCCCGACAACGAAATTTATGGAACGCGCGTATCCATAGGGAGAATTCGCGGTGGAATCGGAGAGAATACTGGTTCTTCCGGTCGGTTCGTGGTTTCCTATTAACGGAAGGTATAAGTATGCGGGCTGGCGAGGAAAACGAGTAAAAACGAATAATAACAGAGACGAGGCTCGTGAAACGACACTGTTCGCCGATACGTGTACCGAATCGCGAATAGCGAATCCTCTGGTGCTCGCTACCGACTTATCGTTGGACAAAGACTAAG